ACACGGGGAGAAGCAAACAGAGTTTTGTGATGATCATTCGCAGCCTTTATGGTGGTTACGACGTTCTCTGCTGCTCCCCTCGCCCTGGCCCTGCTGCCTCCACGCCTTCTCACACTGATACAAGTTTCTGCTGGTAAATGGTCCCTGAAAAGAGTTTACCTGCCACTAAATGGCTCCGAACCCCGTGAAATGCTTGGGAGCCGCTCCGTGCAGCTCTCTGGGCTGGCTGGAACGACCTGCTGAGCACATCCCCCAGCTGAGGGCTCTGAAGTGTGGCACCGGCCGTGCAGATGCTCGGCACTGCAACGTTCAGGGCTGAATTCGGCACTGTGAATCCACCAGCAGAACATTTAACCCGCTGCATCCCTCGCCACCGTCCATGCCCAACCAGACATGGAGCAAACCTGCTGGGGAAGGTCTGCTCGGTGTCAGGTGTGTCTTGGCTGCTTAGGGGGCCCAAATGAAGGGGGGGAAGCAGCGTTGCCCCCCAGAATCGGTGTTTGCATCAGCCACGGGCTCCTGGCTCGGGTGAGGCCTCGGCAACAGGTTGATGGAGCTGAACAGCGGAGCAGGTTGTTTCTCTGTGAGGTAATGGGTTATTTATTTATCCTGCCTTTCAGGTCACCCTGATGCACATTCCCTCCTTTCCCCCCTCACAGTCCTTCCACAGGACTCGCTGGGGATGAGAAGATCCCACACAAATCCAACAGAGGGCCGTCCTCAGGGGCAGGGGGTGATGTGCTGGATGGATCCAGGCCACGGGGCCTGGCTGACGTAAGTGTGAGCAAACGTACCCAAATCTCACCCGAAATATTTTCCAGGAGGAGGAGGAGGAGGAGGGTCCCTGCTCTTCCCCGGGAGCCACCTGCGTGCAGCCGCTCTCTGGACACCCCGTGCCAAGCCCAACAAGCCTCCCGGTGCTGTTCCAGCCTGCACGATGTGTTTTTCCACCAGCACGACTCAGCATCCCGTCCTCTGCCAAGCCTGCGGCCTTCCCGCTCGGTTGTGGCCAGGAGAAATCCATTTCAGTAGGAAAACAAAGGGAATAGGTTTAGCAGCCCTCCAGCCCCGCTGCCGGGCGAGCACGTGCGGCGTTTGTTTGCAAAGCTGGGCAGGGGTTAATAAGCTGAGCCCGCAAAGATTTACACCTAGGCCGGGGTTTCCATGTGGGCTTAACGTTAAGCAGGACCTTAATCTAAAGGAAAATATTTGGAGGGAGTTTTGTTTCTCTTTCAGAGGGCTGTAGGACCCGTGAAATACTCACCGGGGAGAGGGGTCACTGTCTGTCACGCTGGACTCCACGGTCTCAGGGGGCTTTTCCAACCTAAATGATTCCATAATTCTGTGACCCCTGGTGGTGCTGAGGGCAGCTGGACAGGGAGGAGACCAGGACTCGTATCTGAGAAAGGTGCTGCTTGTTCCTCGCAGCACCACCAGAGTCAGGAGGGCTGTGTGTTCTCAGCTGGGCAGGAGAAGGGGTGTGATGGTTGGGATGAGTGTTTGCAGGAGAGGGGTGGCTGTTCCCGCAGGGAACGCCATGCAGGACACACCTGCAGCGTGGGACAGGCGGGGGGCACAGCAAGGACCCCAAAGGCAGGGGCTGAGCGGTGGTTTTGCCACGGGCAGTGACTGTTGGGTGCGGGATCGTGGCTTCCAGGGCGGTTTGAGTCCGAGCCCTGCCGAATCCAGGGGCTGCTCCTGCCGGACGGTCCCTCGCACGCGGCTCGCAGATGTCGGTGAGCGGGATCGAGCCTTTACAAGGAACAGCCCTCGGCTGTCCCCCTCCCTCCAGCCCCCTCAGCCTGGGCACACAGTCCCTGTTTCCAGCCCTCTGCCTGCCCTTAACGCTGACACTGTTTCAGATTCTTCCCCAAACACTTGTGTATTTTTTTTAGATTTCAGCACCTGGAGAGGAAAGAGGATGGTGTGTGACTGGGCATCTCCAGAGCTGGGCTGAGCTAAACACCCTCCCACTCCCTGCGTGCTGCTCGGGGCACGACGTGAGATTTCGAATCCACGCAGAGCGACTTCCAGGTGATCTCAAACCGTTCCGAGGCAGAAAACCAGGACAAAAAGGAAAGGCAGGACACATCGGTGCAATTTATTTCATTTCAAACGCCCTGAGCTGCCCTCAGATCAGCAATGCTTCACGCTAGGATTTTTTACGTTAATGATCCACGATCCCACTCTCATTTTCACTTTATGAATCTGTGATCAAAAAACCGTAGTGTTTAGGGGAAAAAAAAGCCACCAAACCGAAAAAATGTGGGCGAGTTTGGTGTGTTTTTTTCCCCTGTGTGGATTTGAGGAGCCTTCTGGCAGGGGTGTATTTTACAGAGCGAAATTGCTTTTGACAAACAAAACTGAATTAGTATTAATTACATCAACCTATGGCCTTTACCAGCCCGAAAGAGATAATTAACCAAAATGTCTCAGAAGGAGCTTTGGAGAAGGATTTTGTTTTGTTTTAGCTCTCAAACCCTCTTCCTCAGCAAACAGAAAGCCTTTTTTGGGGCACGGCAGCAGGGTCATCCAACTCCCTGCATTTAGCCCGTGCCAGAAGGCTGGGGGGAAAAAAATATTGTCGGAATTAATTTCGTGTTCCCTCTGTCACACAAAGCACAGGCTCAGGCACTGAGATAATATTGCACTTGCTGGACGGTTTTCAGTGTATCTGATCCCACAGCAACAGGGTTTTCCAATTTGGATTGATCCTGACAGAAAACAAGCTCCATAAACTCCTCTAAGAGCCACAGCATTCCTGAATCAGTAATGAATTATTGTCAATAATATTATGGTCTAGTATGGTAGTATTAGTTAATAATACAACAGAGTCATATAATGACATAACAATGTAATATACAATGGTGTTACTATATAACAGTATTATCTATTAAAACGTAACAGTATTATAATATTATACCATAAATAATGGAGAATAAATGCTGGTGAAACACGCAGGAACCCCTACCTTTAACTATACTAATCACCAGCTGCTGCAGTAGAGGCATATCCTTGATATTTCTATCAACTCTCCCTGATATTTCTCCTTTTTAAGTAAAAA